GGGTTAATAAAATATATCTGGAATCCTATTAATGAATGGACAAATGTTACTAATTATCAGAGAAATGCAAATGAAAGTGTGATAAGGTATGTCCTACCTGTTTGAATGGCTATTACCCAAAGATATTGGAAAGGATGTGGAGAAAACGGAACTCTTGTACACTACAGATGGGAATGTAAATTGGTACAACTATTATGGAAAACAGTATAGAACTTCCCCCCCAAAATTAAAAATAGAACTATCATATGATCCAACAATCCTACTTCTGGATTTATATTCAAAGGAAATAAAGTCATTATGTTGAAGAGAATGAAAAAAAAAAAGAACAAATGAAACAAATAGCAAGATGATAAATTTAAACCTAACTAACAATAATTGCATTAAACAGTTGGTCTAAGCATGCCAATTAAAGGGCAAAAAAGTATCAGATTGGTTACAAAAATGACCCAACAATACACTGCTTACAAGAAACCCACTTTAAATATAAAGACAAGATAAAAAATACAGAGATGGGAAGATAAATATACTAATACCAATGAAAGTAAAATGGTGTGGCTGTATAAATATCTGAGAAAGTAAATTGTGGAACTAAAAATGTTACCAGGGAGAAAGTCATTTCCTAAAGATAAAGGGATCAATGCTTCAAGTAGATGAAACAGAACTTGATAGAACTGCAAGGAGAAATAGACAGATCCACAATTTTAATTGGAGTTTTGTTTTGGTTTTTTGAGTTGGATTCTCACTTCGTCACCTAGGCTAGATTGCAGTGGCATGCTCATGGCCACCCCCAGCGTCGACCAGTTGAGCTCTGGTGATCCTTCCGCCTCAGCCTTCTAAGTAGCCGGAACTACAGATGCATTCTACCGTGCCCGGCTAAATTTTTTATTTTATTGTAGAGACGAGATCTCACCATGTCGCCCAGGCTGGTCTCGAACCAACGGGCTCAGGTAATCCTCTTGCCTCGGTCTCCCAAAGTGCTGGGATTACAGGCTTGCGCCACCGCATCTGGCATAATTGGAGATTTTAACACCCTTTTCTCAACTGATAGAAATAAATCAGCAAGGATATAGAAAACTTGAACATTATCAATAGTTTAACCTAATTGTCTTTACAAAACATATCACCCAACAACAGTAGTAGTACCCACATTTCTTTTAAGTTTCAAGTACACATGAAACATTTACCAAGAGGGACCATATTTTGGACCATATCTCAACAAGTCATTCAAAGTATGTTCTCTAGTAACAATAAAATTAAATTAGATAAAAACAGAATGATCTCTGAACAAATTCTCCAAAATTCAGAAACAAAATAACAAACTTTTAAATAATCCATGTATCAAAGAAGAAAAATTAGAAAATGATTTGAACTGAATGAAAATGAAACAAGACAAATTTGTGGGACACTGCCAAAGAGGAAAATTTCTAGAAATTGCCTATAAGAAAAAATAGGTCTCAAATCAATGACGTCTGCTTCCACATTAAGAAATTTTAAAATGAAGAGCAAATAAGTAAGCAGATGAAATAATCAGAATGAAAATCAGTGAAACAGAAAATAATCCTCCCCAAAAAGAGAGAAGAAGAAAACCAATAAAACCAAAAGCTCATTCTTTGAGATGATCAGTAAAGTTGGTAACCTTCTAGTTAGAGTAAAAAAGAATGTAAAAAGACAGAAATTACTGGTCTCAGGAGTGAAAGTTAATATCACTAAATTCTACACATATTAAAAGAATAAGACACCATTATGAACACGTTTATGCCAAAAAATTCAGCAACTTGAATGAAATGAACAAATTATTTGAAAGATTCAAATTACCAAAGTTTACTCAAGAAAAAAATAATCTGAATAGTCATGTCCTTATTAAATCAAATCTGTAGTTTAAAACCTTCCCTCAAAGAAAACTCCTGACCAAGATGGCTTCACTGGTATATTCTACCTGTCATTTCAGAAAGTTACAATGTCAATCCTTCATTAACTTTTCCAAAGAATAGAAGATAAAGGAAAATTTCACAACGAGACCAGCAGTATCCTGATACCAAAACCACAAAAAGATATTACAAGAAAACCAAAAAAAAAAGACAAAACAACTTCAGATCAATATTCCTCCTGAACATAAATAAAAAACTTCTTAACAGTTTTAGCAAATCAAGTCTAATAATATCTAAGAAGGATAATGTCTTATGACCAAATGGGATTTACTGGAGAAATGTAAGGTTGGTTTAGTACTTAAAACTCAGTGCAACTCACTGTATTAACAGACTAAAAAGAAAAATATGATCATCTCAGTAAATGCAGAAAGAGGCCCCTCCCCTTCCTTGGGGAGGTGAATCATCTCTAATTTACTTTTTAAATAAACTATATTTTCCAATGTAGTAAATAAATGCAGAAAGTGTGTTTGACAAAATCCAATATCCATTCCTGACTAAAAACTTTTCAGCCTACTAAGAACAGAAGGAAATTTCTGCCCGATGAAAAGCATCAATGAAAAGCCTACGCCTAACATCATACTCAATGGTGAAAGAATGAATGCTCTTTCCTTGAGACTGGAAACAAGGCAACGGGACCCATTCTTGCCATTTCTATTCCACATTGCAATGGGAATCTAGACAGTTCAATAAGTCAAGAAAATAAAATAAAAACATTCTTACTGAAAAGGAAGTAAACTTGTTTATATTCATAGACAATATGACAACCTACAAAGAAAATGCAAGGAAATCTACAAAGAAGCTACTAGAACTGACAGATGAGGAACATATCATAGCGACAATGTGGCACAACTAGAACTCTCATATACTTCTGGTGGAAATGCAAAATGGTCCACTTTGGAAAACATTTGGCAGTTTCCTAAAGACACAGCTACCATTTGACCCACTCACAGGTATGAAAACCTATGTCTATACAAAAGTTTGTGCATGAATGTTCATGGCAGCTTTCTGTATAATAACCCAAAACTGGAAACAACTCAAAAGTACAGCAGCAGGTAAAGAGATCAGCAAATTGTAGTGTATCCATGCAGTAGACTAATCAATAAGAATGTACTACGAGTATTGATATATGCAACAACATGAAAGAATCTCCAATGTGCAGAGTGAAATAAGCCAGACATACTGTATCATTCTATTATATAAAATGCTGGAAAATGCAAACAGATTTATACGAACAGAAGGCAAATCAGTGGTTGCCTTGGCATGGGTGAGAAGAGGGAGGAATTACAAGGTGGCATAAGGAAATTTTAGGGTGGTGGATAGTTTTGGTAATTTTAGTCATGGTCTCTCAAGCACAGGGGTATATAAAAATTTATCAAATCGTACACCTTAAACATGCAATTTACAGCATATCAATTACACCTCTGTAAAAACAATATGAAAAAACAATATAAAAGCTGTTTTTAAAAATGCATAAAACTAAATTTGTAAGGATTAGAAGATGCATTACATGATAGAGTTAACATTTGAAGTGAGTGGAACTATCTTCCTAGAACGTTTTAAACAGTGAAACCAAAACAAATGAACTTTCTTTCAGCTTACCATGTCAGTCCTGGAATTGGCATCTAAAAGTTTTCAAATTAGATTCTAAATAAGCAGAAATGTGGAGGCAGAGATGAGACGGACCTGGATGAGAATCCCAGCCCTATCACTTACTCCCTTCTAGACCGTAGGGACTTTACTTAGCTCTTTAAACTTCAGTTCCCTCGTAAAATTGGGATGGTACCCCTCGTACATTTGTTTAGAGGTTTAACTATAGCATATGTAAAAGACCTAGCACAATACCTGCCAGGTAGTAGATGCAATAAATAGTATCGTTACCTAGTCTGTTTTGGTCATGTATTCCCTGCACAGCACAGTAACTGGTTCTTCACCAAAGAAATGAAAAACAAGAATTCTAACCACTAAATCTGACTGCTGTAAAGCAACAGAGCTTTTCTCAAAATCTAAAGTTCTGCTTTCTACCTCAGAGCTTACCTCTGTCCTCATTGAAAAACGAAAGTAGTGATGAAAGAAGGTAGAAGACAAAATTATGAACTTCACAGGAACTTGGATGAACTTAGAGTCTATAACAGTGATCTATCACAGAAACAAAGAACTGAGTACTACATGTTCTCACTCATAAGCAGACCGTGAACAATTATAATACTATAAGAAAGGGATTGGCAGGCCGGGTGTGGTGGCTCATGCCTATAATCCCAGCACTTTGGGAGGCCGAAGTAAGAGGATTGCCTGAGCCCACAGGTTGGAGACCAGTCTGGGCAACTTGGGGAGACCTCGTCTCTACAATCAAAAAATTAGCCAGGTGTGGTGGTGCGTTCGTGTAGTTTCAGCTACTTGGAAGGCTGAGGTAGAAGGATCAGCAGGTTGAGGCTGCGATAACCGTGAGCCTGCCACTGCACTTCAGCCTGGGTGACATAGTGAGACTCTGACACAAAAAAAGAAAGAAAGAAAGAAAAGGGAGGAGGGAGAGAAAAAGGTTGGCAGTAGTGGGAAATTGCTGGGGGGAGGTGGGATTAGCAGTAGTGGGAGAGGGGGGCACACCTCATCAACAAGGGTACTTACATAATGAATATTTGTATACCTAACCCTGAATTGTACCGCATGTCTGTAAGGTAAAAAAAAAACAAGCACTACTTGTCAATCTGATAAAAAAATGATGACAAGGAAAGTCTCCAATATCAGTATTTACTGGTATCTTCAGGGAATGTTTTAGGGTAACAATTCATCTCCTCATTATGGCCTATACAAGTCTTAAGAGCATATTTCCAGAAAGCTGAGAACACCATGCAATATGGCACAGTTTTCACCACTTGTTTTAAACCTGAAAAGGAGCACAGACTTCTGATTTTACAGGCTAAAGACAGGAAGGCAAAGCACTTCCTAGGACCATGCAACAAGTCTGACCTATAGTGGGTCCCGGATCCATTCTACTCAAGGCCAATTCTACTAGAGCAGAGAACCCTGGACTTGGCGTGAGTTCCATACCTCTGAGCCCAGGACCATTCATCTTACCTGAATCTCGGTGAATTGTTCTAGCTCTCTTCAATTTCCCCAGTGGTTTATACTTTGGCTCAATACTTTGGGAAGATCGGCATAAAGGCTTTAAGCTGAAATGAATCAGAATATTTTATTTTTCCTTTAGGAAAAACTGCTGGAAGGTAAGCATCACTGATAGAGATTATAAAAACCTGACCTCAGGGAATCACACAACTGAAAAGCAATGTTTAATCATTAAAAACCACTTCAATATAATGCAGTGGTAAATACAAGCACTTAAATGTAAAATGGCAGGTGTCTAATTGTTAGGTCTGAGGGAAACATCTTCAGGAGACTTAAAGCAAAACTTGGATCTTGGCTCTTGCAATGCAAACAAGCCAGTTGCTATCCTAACAATCGGTTAAGTAATACAGTGACACCTTCTGGCATTCAGGGAATACAGTATGGCTAGCTGCTTCCCCTTTTCTGTTTAATGGGATTTACTTACATCTTGCAAGAATCTCACAAATTTGATCTCTTTCTTCTAGGTGCTTAGGCTGGAAGTTGAGACACAGTGGAGACCAAATACAAAATGGCACAGAAATATCATTTGAATGTGTCTTACCCCTTTGCAAGGACCTCACTGCTATTTAGAATGTCTATAACATACCACTGGAACAGAGCAATTAAGCTCCCAAACTGAAGCTCAGGTAGAGCTAACTCGTTTTACATCCTGGTTCCTGTTCTCAGGTCCACAACTGTTCTCTGGCTCCATCCCTTCAACCTTCCAGGAGCTCTGTTCCTACTGTCTTTGCAGTTATTTCAGCTGTGCTGCTTGGGTAACTGTTCAAAGCTCCAGCACCTATCTACAACAGACTTGCCTGATAGAAATGCAAGATGGAAACATGCATTTTAACAAGCGCCCCAAGTGATTCTTAAGTACATTCATGTTTGTTTATATTCTAGTTCCATCAGACATATTTAAGTCTCAGCTATTTTAAGATTCTCTGTTGCCTTCAGTTACAATCTTGTCTGTAAGTTTCACTGTCAAACTTTGTAAAGAATAGTCTATCCTCAGTCTTCATTTCCTCACTTTTTACCCATTTCTCAAGCAACTGAAATCTGGCTTCTAACTCATAAGACTACTGAAATTGCTCTCACTGAGCACCCACAAATGACCTAATTACAAGGTAATGGGACACTTGGTAATCCCTATATGACTCCTCAAGGATTTGACACACGATACTTTCCTTTGCTTTCCTCTGTCTCCATCTCATCCCAGCTCCTCCTTCTCCACTCATTATTTAAATGTGCTGCCCAGGTGCTCTGGCCTCATCTCTGTGATCCTTCCTCATGCCCTGCTACTGATTTCCTCTGTCCTTGTGGTTTCAGTTATCATCTGCACTGCCAACTCCAAATCTGTGTCTCCAACCCAGGCCTCTCTCCAGAGCTCTTGAATCCCATTTTCACATTTCTATAACTTTATCCACAGTTGTGCCTACTGGAATGACATTTGCTAGCCTGGTGCTGTATGTCCTCATTGGGCAGATTTCCTGACACCAGGCCTCGTCTCTTCCTGCACCCACAATAGCTTGTGTACAGCATGCCTCCTACCAAGACTGGGGCTCCACTAGGCCACGGTATGTCTCAGTCAACCTGGATCCCAAGTATAGCACTTAGCATATAGCTGGCACTAAAGAAATTTTTAATGAATGCATAAATGAAACCCAAAGGGGAGATGAAAAAGTGGCAATACTGTAGTAAAATATGCTTTATACTGTCTCACCTCTTCTTTGACTTTCACTTATCCATTCAGTAAGGTAACATTAACTGACCACATGCTTAGTACTATGCCAGGTAGTTTTCTTTTCTTTTTTTTCTTTTTCTTTTTTTGTGTTGGAATCTCACTCTGTCACCCAGGTTGGAATGCAGTAACATGCTCACAACCACCACAGCCTCAACCTGCTAGGCTCAGGCGATCCTTCCGCTTCAGTAGCTGGAACTACAAGTGTGTGCCACCATGCCTGGTTAATTTTTTGATTTATTGTAGAGACAGGGTCTCACCAATCTTCCCAAGCTGGTCTTGAACCCCTGGACTCAGGCAGTCCTCTCACCTCAGTCTCCCAAAGCACTGGGATTACAGGCTTGAGCCACCGCACCCAGCTTGCCAGGTTCTTTTCATACATTATCTCCACATTTTTGAGAAACCCAACAAGTAGGCATGAATATTCCTATTTTGCCAATTCAAAGTGGCTGTCTCAGAGAAGTGATCCAGCCAAGATCACATTGCTAGTAAATGGGGAAGCTGGACGCAGCACAAGACAAACTGACGATACTGCTTGCACCTTCTGCCACACTGTAAACTAAAGGAAGCATGACAGGAAAAAACAGAAATGAAGAGAAGTTAGAAATGTCACAAGAAAAGGAGGTTCTAGATTTGAAAACATTCAGGCAAAACTATCCAGAATGTTCCACAAGTAATAAATACTCACATTTCTATAACTTTATCCATAGTTGTGCCTAATGGAATAACATTTGGATACACATTCACAGGACAGATGTAGCTCAAGAAATCTTTAATCTAGATAAAGAAAAATAAAATGGGTCAATTCTCTTCACAGTGAAAAACTGAGGTGTTAGCAGAGATAAAGAGAGATCGGGGAAAGAAAAGCAGAAATCTCCATGACTGTGGTTCTCAATGCTGGGTGCACATGGGGATCACCCTAGGAAAAAGGAACACCCTTACATCCAGACCTTCTTCCCAAAAGTCCTTTGGATGCTAAACTATAGTGAGGAGCCTGGGAATCCATAGATTAAATGTACCCCAGGCAATTCTGTTCCAGAGGAAGAGCTGAGAATCACTGATTAATAGGATCTGAGGAGTCTATATTTTTAAATATATTAGTTTCCTTGTCCACGAAGATTAGTTGCCTGTGTTCAACAAATCCCCTTTCAAGTGAGTTGGAATTTAGCTGAGTATTAACTATAATACACATAAGGAAACAAAGTGTTAGAATTGCACTTTTTAGCCAGGTGCAATGGTGTATACCTGTAGTCCCAGACCAGGAGGGGCGATCTAGTGAGACCTTGTCTCTTAAAAGACAATTGTATTTCTTTCTTCCTACAAATATTATCATTAGCAATACCGAGGGAATTGTGTCTCTGAGGTTACCTGCTTTGTTCTAATGGTTTATTCTTGCTGAGTACCATGAACCAAAACACCATGTACTGGTTACTACCTGTGGGAGGATCCAAACACTTCTGCCCAATGCCAATGCCTCTTGGTGTCAGAATCAGCAAGGAAAACACAATGTAGTCAAGCCCTGGTTAGTACAACGCCTTACTTAAGAGAACAGACAGAACAAGAGCAAGATCAGTTCCAACAAGGTGGGCTGTTGCCCCATGGCCTAAGGGGCAATCAACAGGGCACTTTGCCTATGTGCCCCTTCTCCTGATGCACAGGAAGGTGTCTCTCTGCCCCTAGTCACAGGGTCTGAAATATGACAATCTGAAAGCTGAGGTGTGCCTGAGGGCCACTGACGTACAGGCTTAAGCAGAACAAAGGAGTACACGTTGAGTTTGAAACAGAGAAAGATGTTTCCACACAAGGCAATAAGCTGGCACTGGCTGTGTGCGCTCTGTCTCTCCATAAGGAAGTGTTCCAGGCCCAAGGTCCTTTCTTATGTAGCCAGTGGGGCAAGACTGTACACAGAGGACTGCCTTTCCCAGCAATTCTTTTTTCTTATATGATCATTAGGAACCAACAATTAATTCTAAACAGGCACAATTACATTCAAAAATTTCACAAATACCTTGATTTTCTGCAGAATTCAGAATGCTAAACAGAGGAACTCTGTCCCTACTCCTCAAAACATCTCTACAACTCTGACAAACTTCAGCTTTGGTGTTTATTACATCTTGGCGAGCTTGAAATCTCAGTCAAGTTACCTAATGTCTCTAAGTCCTAGATTCTTCATCTAAAAGCATAAATGAGAGAATGCACACAGAGTGCTTAGCCTGGTACATGGTGTACCATTCAACAAATTATCTACCACAAAATTGATGATGACACGAAGATTTTTGTTCCCTTCTACATATGGAGAGAGAGAGACACGACACAGAGTAATTATTAGTATGCAGCTTCCAAATGACCAAATCAAAAGAGGCAGGAACCCAGAAGTTACCAGTAACTCTTCTATAAAAATAGAATGGCTACTTTCATTAAGACAAGGCAAAGGCAGGAAGATCTACTCTTTGGGTATTTTTTTAAAAATTTATTTTAGAGTTGTGGGTACATGTGAGGATTTGCTATATAAGTAAATTGTGAGCACATGAAGTCTGAGCTTCTAGAAAGCCCTCTCTTTCCCTGACAGTAGACTAAGGACCCCGTGGGTGGTTCTGTGCCCCTTATCCTCACTCCCTCCCTCTCCCCACTAGTAGTTCCCACCTTTATGCCCACGTGCCCAATGTTTAGTCAGTTTTTGTTTCTGTGACAGTTGACTTAGAATGATGTTTTCCATCCGTGTTGCTGCAAATGACATGATTTTGTTCTTTATGGCTGCATAGTATTCCATTATATGTATGTATTGTATTTTCTTTATCCAGTCCACTTTTGGTGGCATCTGGGTTGGTTCCATGTTTTTGCTATTGTGAATAGTGCTACAGTGAACATACATGTGCAGGTGTCTTTTTGGTTTATGTTGCTCTGGGTATATTCTCAGAAATGAGATTGCTGAATTGAATGATAGCTCAATTTTTAGTTAAGAAACCGCCACACTGTTTTCCACAAAGTCGAACTATTTTACATTCCCACCAACGGTGTAGAAATGTTCCCTTTTCCCTTCAGCCTCACCAACACCTGTTGTTTTTTGACTTTTTAATGACAGCCATTCTGACTGCTGTGAGGTGGTATCTCACTGTAGTTTTGATTTTTATTTCTCTGATGACAAGTGAAGCTGAGCGTTTTAAAGCTATTTTTCATAAACAGTTTCTTTTGTACCTTCAGAGTAGGCATGCAAATAGAAATGATTACTTGCTTGTCCACCACCTACTTGACTTACACAATCAAAGCTGAGGCTGGTAGAGATCTAAAACTTTTGAAGAAAATAAAGAAAAAGAAAGGTCAGGCCTGTATGAGAAATAGGTCTAGATATGACTTCACCACTTCTCAAGGATGAAGTGACCACAGGATATAAGAGACTCCCAATAGAGGAGCTCTCTCACTTGGACAAGTTGATTCCCTTTCATCAACTGCCTGCCTTAAAACTTTAACACAGTCTTTATTTGCAGTAGCTCTATTCTATGAAGCCACCACAAATACTGAGTTAGCAAATAATGAACCATTGCTCCTAGGGGAAATTCAGAATTAGATTCCTGCAAGCCTCTGGCAACACGGTTTTTGTCAACCAATCAATACCTAACCTTGTTTTATGTGTGTCTCTGTTTAAAGACACCTTATTTAATATATATTGTTGATTCATTAACATTGAACTCATGGCCAAGAGCAATACAACTGATCTGATGCTTGAAAAAAGCTTACCTAACACAAGGCACATCACAGCCCTCTTGTGCTTAGGAACACTAGATAGGACTTCAGTACCAGGCTTGGAGGGCATCCTTTTTTTTTTTTTTTTTTTTTTAAGAAATAGGGCCTCACTATGTTGCCCAGGCTGGTCTTCAACTCCTGGGCTCAAGCAGTTCTCCCATTTCAACCTCTCGAAATGCTGGGATTATAGGCATGAGCCCCCACTCTTGGAGGGGATAGGAGGGCACCATTTTAAACAGTAAGATCACCAAAAAAACCAAAAACATGAAAAAAAATATGGCACTGATCAGACCACTAAAAAGATACTTGTTGATAGTATGAAAGTTGAAATAAAAAGGCAGAGCACTCCCTTGTCCAATCTGAGTTAGGAACATGCATGTCTTGCAACTCAGAATTTTTGCCACTCTACAAGTATGAAAATGATCACAAGTACTGATATTGAGGTTATAGATAAATTTCAGCGAGTAGGCAAACAAACATGGAATCGGTGAATAATGAGGATCGACTATAATTAGGAGAAAAGCTGAAAGGAAATGAGATTTAAATAGAAAAAGACAGCCAGGCTCGGTGGCTCAGCCTGTAATCCCAGCGCTTTGGGAGGCTGAGGTGAGTGGATTGCCTGAGCCCGCGGGTTCGAGACCCACCTGGGCAACTTGGCGAGACCTCATCTCTACAATAAATCAAAAATTAGTTGGGTGTGGTAGCGCGCACCTGTAGTTCCAGCTACGCAGAAGGCTGAGGCGGACGGATCGCCGGAGCCCAGCAGGTCGAGGCTGCGGTGGCCGGGAGCGGCCACTGCACTCCAGTCTGGGCGACCAAGTGAGACTCCAACTCAAACAAAACAAAACAAAAACAAACAAACAAAAATAGAAAAAGAGATACGTCTGCAAGTCAAGGGAACTACCGTCAACCATGCAGAACAGACAGCAGTCAGGGTTGTGAGTATGTGAGATCCTCTTACCTCACTGTAGGAGGAGTGGAAAGAAAAACAAGCTCGGTAGGAACTCTCTCCAGTCCTAAAGGGAAATGAAAACACAGAATTACAAGGTCATTTAGCAAAACTAATCCGAGTTCTAAACTTGGACCCTTTTCAGTGGCTATTTCAGTATGAAATCACCCTAACTTGGGAATTTCTTCTTATGATAGGAATGAACTCTTTCCAGAAATGGAAGTCTGTTGTAGACATTCTGTACAGCCAAAGTTAAGGAAATGTTGCTAAGATATGATGACCATGAAGGTAACTTCTACTCCACCAAGGGTTTCTGTCCCCTATGACATCAGCTTATAACTCTTAGCCTAGCACTCGGATACCCTCGGTACCCTACTACCTACCTAACTACTATAACCTCAGGATTTACTGGCTAATGAGATTATGATAGGTTTGGAAGCAGCATCCCCTCAGTTTAAATAAAGTTTAAATTTCAGAGATTCTTTCTACTGGGCACAGTGGCTCATGCCTATTGTCTCAGCACATTGGGAGGCCAAGGTGAGAGGACTGCTTGAGCCCAGGAGTTCAAGGTCAGCCTGGATAACATAACAAGACCTTACCTCTACAAAAATAATTTTTTTTTCATTAGCTGGGCATGGTGGCACATGCTTGTAGTCCCAGCCACTTGAGAGGCTGAGGTGGAAGGATCACCTGAGCCTAGGAGGTGGGGGCTGCGGTGAGCCGTGATTGTGCCACTGCATTCCAGCCCGGATGACAGAGTGAGACCTCATCTCAAAAGAAAAAAAAATTATTTCCCATAATTATAATATATCCTCTTCTTGGGCTTAGGCTAGACTGCATTTAAACTAAATTAAATCAGATAATTTCTCTTGAAACAAGGTTTCTCTCAGAAGACCTGTGATGTCGCTTTCTTACCTCACAATTACATTTGTTTTTCTGGTTCTTTCTCCAAACCACATGGTGGATGGCTTAATGCTGATTGTGTGCAGTGGAACTCTATTTTTGGAAGTATTTCCACAGGGTAATTTGCTCCACTGAAAATATTCCTCTGCCTAAAAAAGATTTTTAAAAAATAGAAAAGCAGTTCTACATTTTCAACAAATCTGTTGGTAGACAGGGTCTCAAAAACAAAAGTAGATACGTTTTCAGACATGAAAAAAAAGGTAGACACGAGGAAACAATGAGAATGGCAAACTGAGGAACATTCTACAAAACAACCGGCCTGACTCTTCAAAACCTTTCAGGTGAAGATAGAGCAGCAAAAGACTGGAGACATGATGTGCGTCAAAAGAGACCCTTTAGGCCTGACTGAATGCAGTGTGTGGCCCTTATTAAATCCCGGATGCCCCCACCACCCCATCCCACAAGCTATAGAGGATACCACTGGACAATTGGGGACATTTGGATATGAGCTGTATACGAGCTAATAGTATTGTAGCAACCCTAAATTTCCTGAGTTGGGGAATCACATTATGCTGATGCAGGAGAATGTTATTCTCAAGAGATAACAGAATGCAAGATTTGGAGTGAAGTGCTATGAAGTCTGCAACTCACTCTCCAATGGTCTGGGGGGGTTGGTTACACATACAGAGAGAAAGAGATAGAGAAACAGAGCAGAAAGAGATAATGTGACAAAGTATTGACAAACTGGGGAATACAGATGAAGAATATTAATGACAAGTGCCTAAGTTGATAGTGTTATTTGTACTAGTCTTACACCTTTACTGTTTAAAACTTTTTCTAAATAAAGTTGGAGAAAAAATAAATAAGCGTTTTGCAAAGGTTGAAGAGTAATGGGACTGAGCCCAGGAGGTCGAGGGTGTGGTGAGCCACGATCGTGCCACTACACTCCAGTCTGGGTAACAGAATGAGACTCCAACTTGAAAACAAAACAAAAAATTAAAAAACGGAATGCCTGAGGCTTCTTCTCAACTTGGAATTCTCTGTTTTACGAATCACACAAACACCACAAGAAACCATTGGCACGTGTACCTTTGGATGCCGGCACGCATGGATCTGAGAGCTGCGGTCTGTTGTGAGGTGAGGAAGGATGTCAGGCATGTGTCTGAACATGTCTAGCTTATTCACGTGAACCTAAGAAAACAGCATATGCAAGCAAATTACCTGGAATGCGTCTCCTACAAGTAAACTGTCCGGAGGAAGTTATTCAAGGAAAAACATCCAGTTAACGAACTAACCCCTCTCTTCTTTCTTGAAACCTAGTCGTTGGCTATCTCAGTGCACATAAGTATTCTGCCAGGACGGCCACAGGTAAAGGCTCACGGCCAAGGCGACTGTCTTTCACTGGTGGTAATGAAAAATTACAGAGACTTGGCTCACTCATTTCATTTGATGATGCTGTTACCGTCCTTCCGTCTTTCAGGAGGAGTTCAACTAATATTTATTTGTGCACCTGCTATATGCCAAACTTTATTCTAAATACTGGGTTTATAGCCGTGATCCAAGCAGACAAAAACAGTCACATGTCCCCTACCCTCGAAGACAAACGCACAATGTGCCACAGAGGAGCAACCAGGAGTGAGAAGAAAGGAGGAGGAGGAAGCAGAAGACACAGGTCCCCCTTCCACACTCGATTCACTCGATTCAAAGGGGAAGGGCAGGTACAGAAAAGCAAATATTCAAACCTCGGCCACCTTTAGAATTTTCAGGCAAATAAATACATTTTAAGGCACTAAAACCAATGTGTCAGTTTTACTTTAAGCTCATCTTCTGGGTTCTTCAAAGCAAATGACAAGTACCTAAGTTGACAGTAGGATTAAATAATGGCACAAAAGAAGTATTCTCATTTTGGTGTCTGGATAGAAAACAGACTAGGATGTCAGATTGCTGTGGTAACTGATGGCAAGATAGTATAAAAAGAATGAACAAAATTGCTTTCTTATCCCATGGCCCACCCCATCACTCCCTGTTGACTAATGACCAGTAAGAAGTAACCAGGAGGCTGGGTGAAGTGGCTCACAGCTGTCATCTCAGCACTTTGGGAAGCCATGGTGAGGACTGCTTGAGCCCAGGACTTTAAGACTAGCCTGAGCAACATAGCAAAGCCTTGTCTGTACAACCAAATAAAAAATTCAGCCAGGCATGGTGCCATGCACATGTAGTTCCAGCTACCTGGAGGGCTGAAGTGGGAGAATTGTCTGAGCCCAGGAGGTCGAAGCTATGGTGAGCCATGACACTGCCACTGCACTCCAGCCTGAGTGACAGAGTGAGACCCCAACTCAAAAAAAAAAAAAAGATCCGCCCGGCGCATTGGCTCAAGCCTGTAATCCCAGCATTTTGGGAAGCCAGGGCAAGAGGATTGCCTGAGCTCAGGAGTTCGAGACCAGCCTGGGCAACTTGGCAAGACCTTGTCTCTACAATAAATCAGAAAATTAATCGGGCAAGGTGGCGCACACCTATAGTTCCAGCTACTTAGAAAGCTGAGGCAGAAGAATCGCCTGAGCCCAGCAGGTCGAGGCCATGGTGGCCATGAGCGTGCCACTGTAATCCAGCCTGGACAACAGAGTGAGACCCCCAACTCAAAAAAAAAGATTTAAGAATTTGGAATTCAGTGTAGTGAGCTCTCTAAGGAGGAGGGAGGGAAGGAGGCAAATCACTGAGAAAGTTGGCATTAAGTCCACGCTGAAATCCACTCCCAGAGCAACTTCCTTGGAAGAAGCTCTGAGGTCCACACCAATGGCCTCTCTCTGGCCACCCCGCCAGCACCCTCCTCAGCCCTCGGCTTCTTCCTGCAAGGGCTCTAGAACAGTACTTCCAGGCTTTTCCATGCCACATACCACTAAAATCGACAAGACAAACTTGGGACTCACAAGGTTGCTACCTTTACAGTTTGCCAAGAGAGGACATGAGGGAAAAAATAAAATAAAACCAGCAGATAGTGTATAGAAGCGTGTGTGTGCATACATACAATTCTTTTTATCACTTTGATTTTAATTTAAAAGACCTTTTTCACATCCACTCAACATAGAAAGGATGATCTCAGAATGAAAGCACATCTTTCCCCAAAAGGAGAACTAACAACTTGACATATTTGGACATAAGAACATAAGGAAGGAAGCAACTAAGAAATAAGGCCTTAGGAAGTAAAGACGCAGGAAGTAGAAGGAAAGGGAGGGAGGGAGAGAAGGAGAAGGAAGAAAGGAAGTTTTGAAAATTCAAATGCAGAAGAACTAGATCACTGTGACTTCACTAAAACATACGGCATATAATTGTTAAGTTCTTGACACAAGTTTGTTACCTGGGGAATCTTTTTTTTTTTCTTCTAATTTTTGAGTCAGGGGTCTCACTCTGTCACCCAGGCTGGAGTACAGTGGCACGATCATGGCTCACCGCAGTCTCGACCTCCTGGGCTCAGGTGGCTGGGACTACAGGTATGCACCACCACGCCCAGCTAATTTTTAAAAATTTTTTTGTAGAGTCAAAATCTCACTATATTGCCCAAGCTGGTCTCAAACTCATGGGCTCAAGCGATCCTCCTGCCTCAGTCTCCCAAAGTGGTAGGATTACAGGCATGAGCCAGTCACCATGTCCAGCCGGCTGGGGGATCGATATTAAAAGGCACAAAATGAAGTAAAATTTAAAGTCCATTTAGTTTCAATTATTTTGTAATTCAGAGTCATTATCAAGCATCCATCTTCTTTAGGGACAAAAGCACAGGCCACACTGTTCCTGTGAGTGCTGTAGGAAGGGGCTCCCGGCTATGGGCCTGAGAGCCTAGCACTGAGCAGCTGGGAAGGAACCTCCTGGAAGGGGTGGGTGAAACTCCTGCCCAGCCTCATACATGAACTGTGACCCACAGTAAGAAATACGATTGCCACACAACCCAACATGCACACACATACATGTCTTTATGTGTCTTCACTCCCTAAGCAGATTTTCACAAAATGATAATTACCCTGACTGCAAGCAATATACTCTGATACCTCCTAGTTCAAAGTTATTTTCAATGCTGGTCACAGTCACTAAATTTATTTCATGACCCACAGTTTGGGAAAAATACTTTATGGGATATTTCGTCGAAGGTTTGTCTAAGCCAGTTGGGCTTCTGCCAATTTCCTCCCACAAGGATGTGAGTAAACAAAGATGACAGAGGAGCCACCAGTCTCTGCTGCACATGTTTGTTTTGGTTTGGTTTTTGTTTGTTTTTTTAAGTTGGGATCTCACTCTGTTGCTCGGGCTGGAGTGCAGTGGCACAATCACGGCTCACTGCAGCTTTGACCTCATGGGCTCAGGTGATCCTTCTGTCTCAGTCTCCAGAGTAGCTGAGAACATAGATGGGCACCACCACACCTGGCTAATTTTTTATGGAGATGAGGTCTCATTATGTTGCCCAGGCTGGTCTTAAACTCCTGGGTCCAAGCAATCCTCCCGCCTCAGCCTCCCAAAGTGCTGGGATTATAGGCATGAGCCACTGTGCCTGACCCAGACACGTTTTGATAAGGTTGCTTCCATCCATCACTATTTTCAGTTATTTGGGGGACGGGGAGAGGAAGGAAAAGTGAAGTTGAGAGGATAGAAGGGAGAGAGAAAAGAATGAAAGAACAAACAGCATACCTGGACCCCAAATTCTTCACTAAGGTTGGTGAACAAATATTCATAGCCATAAGCTGCCTTGCAGTTCAGCCACACAATGTGGTACGGACTCCGAGTGATCCAGCTTCGAACCAGCTCGACAATGCCACTTAAACACTCCCCCTAGACAGGATTTTTTGGAGACAGTTAACACTGTGAAAAACCTCACTTACCCTTTTCATTCCCAGCATTCACAGGTCCTCATGCCAAAGGGACAATTAGGATCCGGTCTGTCATCTTATGAACTTCCTATTAGAAACACGGCCATACCCTGGTTACCACACCATTCCTGCAGGTGCACTTACCCGACTTGGAATTTGATGAAATCTTGGATCACAGAAAGTAGTATCTAAATATACACTTTGGATGTCTTTTACTCTGGAAAAAAAATGGTGTTAGTCAGCCGAAGTGATATAAATGGTGTGTAAAATTTAAACTCTCAGCTGTTTCACAGAGTGTTCCACTCCATTTAGAATTTGTTTGTTATTGTGTTAAATCAACTTTGTTGGAAAATTATTTCCATTCAATAAAATATACAGATTTTACATAAATGATCCAGTGAATTTTGACAAATTCATGTAAATACTGCACTAATCAACATAGAGAACATTCCATTGCTATATTTCAAGGAGAAAAATTTGCTCTGCTATTATAGTTATTATAATCAAGTTTGATTTCTAGTAGAAACAATGAATTGTGTTTGCTGGGAAAAGAGCAACAAAACATTTTAAACTGTGCAATCCTACATTCAAGAACCATGTGAGGCCCAGTACCTGCCCCCAGAGTGTAAAAGCTCCATTCTGGAAGCTTCTCCTTTTGCCAATCTGAAGTCTCCTGTGTACAAGACAGTTCCATTATTGCCCTGAAATAAAAACCTGAAAAAAGAGATATAGCTCAGTGACATCTCAGTCTCATACAAAATCCTAGCAAAGCAAATGCACGCCAGATCGATAGCAAATGCTTCCAGCCAAAAAATCCCTTATGATACAGTGTTAAGGAATTCTAATTGTTCTAAAGCCACACCAGGCACTTAACTGCTATGTCTTCCTGGGGTAGAAAGAATAGAAGGGAGATGCTACCAAGTTTATAATAGATACTCCTTATGATGTTAGCACTCTCAAATATATGTTGAGATCATTCCTGCTCATGGAGAGAAAAATCCACGTGATAATATAAATGTCACTAGAGAAATACACAAAGACTTCCATCCATAAGAAAGCCACATTTCAGGTAATTTGTGTTTTTCTTAAGTCAGAGTCTCACTCTGTTGCCCAGACTAGAGTACAGTAGCGCGATCAGAGCTCATCACAGCCTCAACCTCCTGGACTCAGGAGATCCTTCCACCTCAGCCTCCCAAGTAGCTGGGACTATGGGAGTGGCCACCACACCCAACTGATGTTTTTATTTTCTTGTAGAGACAAAGTCTTGCTGTGTTGCCTAGGCTGGTCTTGAACTCCTCCCAATCCTCCCACCTCAGCCCCCCAAAGTGCTGGGATTATAGGCGTGAGCCACTGTGCCCAACCAGAAAGCCACATTCAGATTTGATCCTCACCTCAGTCCCCCACATTCAATTTGGAAACAAAGATTAAGGAAATGGCTAGAAAAATAATAAAATCTCCCAATGCATAATAATGTTTAGACCCTGAACATTCATTTCTACAAATATATATATCTACATAGAATAAAATGGCAAAATAGAAGAGCCCCTTACATAACTGATCCTGGACAGTGACCAGCTGGTAAGAGAGTCACAACAATCTCTTCCTTCTAAAAAGAAAATAAAGAAATAATAACAAAAGAAGTTATCATTAGGACCTAGCTAAATGAAGCCCTCCTTAAGAGAACACACCCCAGTACCTCTCAAGAAGGTGCCTTTTCTCCCCAACCTCCCCACTCTCCAAACCCTGGAAACAAGTGGAATCTCTGTCCACTCAACAAATGATAAGCAGAATTACACCAGAGGACTGAGTCAATTGCATCAGAACCAAGAGAAATGAAAATGTCTACACAAAAACATGTATATGAATGTTCACAGCAGCATTATTCATACTAACCCCAAGATGGAAACAGCCCAAATGTCTATCAGCTGAGGAATGAATACACAAAATATGGTAGGGTCATACAATGGAGTATTACGTGGCCATAAAAAGGAATGAAGTACTGATACAGGCTACATCATGGATGACACTTGAAATGTTATGTTCTGTGAAAAGGACCCAGACACAAAAGATCACATGTCATATGCACTGATGTGAAATGTCCAGATCAGACAAATCATAGTGACAGAGAGTACAGCAGTGGTTGCCAGGGCCCCAGGGAGGACAGAATGGAGTGTGATGCAGTTGAAGATAGGGTTTCTCTTTTGGATGCTGAAAATATTCTAAAATTGCTTATGGCGATGGATACATAACTCTGTGACTTTGACCTACATCTCAATAAAGCTATTTTTAAAAATGTAGGCCGGGCTTATTGGCTCAGCCTGCAATCCCAGCACTTTGGGAGGCCGATGCGAGTGGATTGCCGGAGCCTGCGGGTTCGAGACCAGCCCAGGCAACCTGGTGAGACCTCGTCTCTACCATAAATCAAAAATTAACTGGGCGTGGTAGCACACGCCTGTAGTTTGGCTACCTAGAAGGTTGAGGCGGAAGGATTGCTGGAGCCCAGCAGGTCGATGCTGGATGGCCGTGAGCATGCCATGGCACTCCAGCCTGGGCGATGGAGTGAGACCCTGACTCAAAAAAAAAAAAATAGTAAAAAGTCTGGACGTACCCTGGTCCGAATGCACACCGCACATTGCACCGTCCCACTAGGGCAGGGCCGCGGCACCACCACCTCTCCAGTCCTCAGTGGTTTGGGAACTCTGCGGGCTCCACGTGATGTGTCTAACTCGCTTCATTCTGAAGGCCCCTTTTGCATGGGGTCTCACACTGGTTAGATAAACAGCGCTCAAAAGCCATGGGGCACCAACAGAAACAGAAAAGACTGGGGCAGGACCAGGACTTCCCAGTGAAAGTTGCCCACCGCTGGCTGCCCGGCTTGGAGACTGCCTTCCACCAATATGCCCGCAAACAGGGTCACAGATCAATTACTGTAGTCCCCGAAAAAGTTCGCAGAGTCCAGGGTGGCATTTTGAAAAGGCTCCACATCCTTTTCCCCCATTTTTTAACCCAGTCTAAACTGGCTCTGTAGTCCTGCTTTAGGGGGATCATCTGATGCAATTCAACTTTAACTGTATGATCTCCAAAGAATAAGTGAAGTCTGTCTCTGTTCTGAACTTGAACTCATTCGCACAGTGCAAGACACTCTCAAAGTTAAACATGTCAAAGCACCATGTTGTTATCATCAGGCTGTAGAACAACTATTAACTAGATTTGCTGTAAAATAGGAAACTATCCACTAGCTCTAGGTATAATTTAAGGTTTAAAAAAAAAAGGTAGGTAGTCTTGCTGCTGCCCAGATCATGCTTCTGCAAATTTCCCTCAAAATTGGCCTCTATCAACAACAACAAAAAGAAGTAGGTCATAGTCCTACTTTTAAAACAGTATGTTCACAAAAGTATGCTTCTAAATTTAATTTGAGAGTAAATTGCATCCACCTAGGCAGTGACTTTTTTTTGTTTTTATTTATTTATTTATTATATTTTGAGTCGAGGTCTCGCTGTCATGGCTATTGCAGCCTCGACCTACTGGGCTCAGATGATCCTTCCGCCTGTCTTCCAAGCAGCTGGAACCACAGGCATGTGCCACCATGCCTGGCTAATTTTTTGATTTATTGTAGAGATGAGGTCTCATCATGTTGCTTAGGCTGGTCTTGAACCCCCGAGCTCAGGCAATTCTCTCCCCTCTGCCCCCCAAAATGCTGGGATTACAGGCTTGAGTCACCATGCCCAACTGACATTTTTTTGAAAAAGAAAATGATTCAGAAAAAAATTACAATATACATAAATTTGCTGCAAAAATATTAACTGCCATTTTATATCCTAAACATTTATAATAAACTTAATAAATGTGACGATGACATCATGTAGTAATAACAACTAGAGTTCCTGTCATTAGCCTATAATACTAAAACGGAGCAAGTCTAACAAAAAATAAGCCATGTCTAATCCTTTCTATGTAAGAAATAAGTATTTCACTATTAGGGACTGAATGTTTGTATTGCCTCCGAAAAGATGTGTTGAAATCCCAAGATGATTTTACTAGGTCTTTGGGAGGTGATTAGATTATGCACAGAGCCCTCATGAATGGAATTTGTTTCCCCACCCCCAATCATGTCCTATACAAGAAGCTCAAGGACACTTGTTTGCCTCTTCCATAATGGGGGAACAGGGAAGGGATGGCCATCTACAAGCCAGCACGTGGGCCCTCACCAGACAACAAATCTGTCAGAACCTTGATCTTGGACTTCCGGTCTCCAGATGCGTGAGAGATAAATGCTTGTTGTTTAAGCCACCAAGTCTATGGTATTTTTGTGAGAATAGTTCAATTGTACTTAGACCATCACAAAATTGTTTTTCCTAAAATTCCACTCAATCGCTACATTTTAATTTATGACTGAACGTTCAAAATCGAGAAGATAATCATTTTAGTACTGAATTTAAAAATAAAACAATATTTAATATTTAGTTACCTCGCCTGATGCTTCGTCAACTAAAGATATCTGAGTAGGCGTTTCGATTTCAATTGCTATCTATAAAAAGAAAATAAGAGATCATGTATATCAGTTTTTCATGACTTTTATGCCTTTGCCACCTCAAACACAAAAAGGGGATGAAGAAATGTTACAAACTTTCTCTGTATAACAATTTCTGATTTCACTAAATTTTAATGGCTTGAAAAAATTATAAAGCAAAACTAAATCCTTCCTTGAGGTAGATTTGGCAATATGTATCAAATGCCTTATAAATATATATCCTTTGCCACAACAATTCTACTTGCGTGAATTCCATTTCCCCCGTTCATCCCTACCACTTCCGTTCCCCTCACCCTTTGAATTTCAGTCTCTGTAAAAACACAGTCATGTGTTCTGTGTGTTTAAGTTTTGTGCTGCAGAACTGTCTGCATCAGCCCATGATACGTATGCCTTGTTTACCGATTCTAACTGCAGCAGAATGCTCCCTGGTGTACCTCCCCACTTCACTCGAAGAAGGAGAAGCACATAATAGGCGTTCAAAAAGTATCTGATAAATGAATATACTCAAGTTTTCATCTTTTTTAGTCCACTAATGTCCTAAAACCTAGAGTGACTAAAGTTTGGTTGTTAAGTACCCTTGTATTTCTGGAATAAAACATCTTATTCATGATGCACTATTTAATACTGTTAGAATCAGTTACTACCTTAATTGGGATTTTTGCATGTTTTTTTTTCTTTTTTATTTATTTTTTATTATAAAGATGTGGGGTACAATTCAGGGTTAGGTACACAAACGTTGATTATGCATGTACCCTTGTTGATGAGGTATGCCCCTCCCTCCCCTAGCAGTTTCCCTCAACTGCCAATCCCACCCCCGCCTCGACGGTTTCTCACTACTGCCAATCCCTTTCTTATAGTATTATGATAATTGTTCAAGGCCCGCTTATGAGTGAGAACATATGGTACTCTGTTCTTTGTTTCTGTGATAGATCACTGAGTATGATCAACTCCAAATCCATGCAAGTTGCTGCCAAGTCCATATGTTTGTCCTTTATGGCTACATAATATTCCATTGTATATATGTACCACTTTTTTTTATCCAGTCCAGCATCAATGGGCAGCATGGTTGGTTCCACGTTTTTGCTACTGTGAAGAAAGCTGCAACAAGCATACATGTGCATGTATCTTATCTGTAGAATGATTTGAGTTCTTCTGGGTGTACTCCCAATAGGGGAATTGCTGGGTCACATGGAAGGTCAATTTCTAGTTCTATCAGAAGTCGCCACAGTCTTCCAAAGAGGTAGCACTAATTTTCATGTATGAAATGGTTCTTTTTCCTCGTATACTATAATTTTCTATCTTGCTAGCAAGGTTGAGCTAACTATCTTTTTATTATTTCCTTCAACAACTATTTAATACAAGGACTATTTGTTTTTTGAACATTTGGTCATTTTTTAATGCTCTGAAGGGCACCAGAAATAATAACAGTTCATGGATGTCATCCATCGGGCTCGGCTCCCTGATATGGGGCAGGCCTGCAGCAACCCAGCTCCTGCTGGGCATCTGCCTGTAGCTTCTCCATGCTCTGGGCCAGGTGTGTGTGTGGTTTGAACTTCCCGTGGGGGTGGGGAGAGAGGTGAGAGACAGATGCGGGTTTCAGTTTGTCCTCCTAGGCTCTAGGCTAACCTTGTGGATTTCAGTTGGTCAGTGCCCTTCTCTGTTTCTCCTCTGGCTTTCCTTCTTGACTGCTGGACAGTTTGATCTGTAGTGACTTCAGGTCCAATGCTAGGGCAAGAGGGTGTAGTCTGGCTGCCATGGTTGGTCTGCAGAGGGGAGATGGACCCCTTCTCAATCAACAGATCATAAATGGAGACTGATGATGCCACACACATGGAGAGAGGATGAGAAAAACGCATCACCCATCATGGGACTTTCTGGGGAAGGTATCACAGCCGAGCTGGGAACAGACATGGCTCTTCTGTCCAAAGAGAGCAGGAGTGAGTGGCTCTGGTTTTCACTGTGGTGCAGGATGGGCTTGGGCTTACCTGGTTTGCACTTCCCGTCAGTGCCAAGACAGGGGTAGGCTTTTTTGTCAGTTTGCCCCAATGTAGGGCAGAAAGGAAGGAGGAACTGGGCCTTGACAGCTATCAGCAAAGAGACTCTTTGTGACACCTGGACACACTCCTCTGCCAGCTCCCACAATTATTTAAGGTCTAATCCACGGAATCAGCCCTAATTCCGTTCCCTCATTGTGGTTCTTCTCAGATCAAATCCTGGGTCGCAGAGGTTCTGGCAGTTTCTACTTCATCCAGTTGGAGGCTATTTTATCAGTTGTATGCATATCCATATCTTCTTGATCCGTTGTTCCTTGTAACAATAAATGACTTCCTCTTCAAAACTTTTTTTTTTTGTCTTTACCTCTACTTTGTATGATAGAAAAATTGCCACTCTGGCATTTTTGGCTTCTAATTGCTTAATATATTTTTTTCCTTCCTCCCTTCCCAATTTCAACCGGTATTTATTTATCCTTTGGTTTTATTTAGATCTCTTATAGACTAATACTGATGGATTTTTCTTATTTTTTAACCTAAACTGAGAATTTGTCTTTTGATCAAGAGTTGAATTAAGTCCTTCATATTTCTAGTAGTTATTATTATAATAGGACTTTTTTCTGCCGCCTTCACATTTTGTATGTACCAGACTTTTGGTTTTCTCTCCATGAATACCCTACATTGGGAGATCCATTTCATTAAAAAAAGATCAACAACAAAAAAAATCCAGTCTATTTGTATTCTTCTGATTGTTACCCCTCACTTACTATAGCTCATAAATTATGCTTATTTTTCCTACTCTATCCTACAAGTAAAGATTTTAACAATTATGCTAATAAATATTATACTTTATACTCTAAAATATTCAAACACATCTTAACTAGCAAGTCAATGAGATTAAACAAAACCAAAGTCCTTGATCAAGCTCTGGAGGAATGAGAAAAACAGCAACCACCAAATGTTGACCTCTTCTAAATTCCTAAATGACAAAAGACTAAATATAAATATTCCAATTAATATGGAAAACTATAGTATGTGAAAAATTGGGTTTTGAGTAATTACAATTTTTTTCAATCTACCTCTAAAAAAATATTTTTCACAAAAACAGAAATTAGTATTATTCAAAAGATAAAACTTACAATTCGTTTCTCCCAAAATCTGTATTTTGGGCTAGTTAACAACAACTCCTTAGTAACAGGTGAGCAGTATAAATAAACCTTCAAGCTGAAAGGAAGAAAAAAAAGCTGTTTTAGTACACTCCAAAATGAACCATCTTGGTGACTAGGAAATATATTTCCTCATATATCTGTGTTCGCTAAGAATTCAGAATTTGTGCTAGTACAAAATGTTAGAGTAGTTCCCAGCATACCTATACCTACTATTTCAGTGCCATCAAGAGCATAAGGAGGGGGGAAATACTGTGTCCTCTGACACCCTCAAAGAGTTGTCTCTCACCATTACACTGAAAATACATGCTTGTACACGATCAAGCATATCTGGAAAGATACCACTAGACACTAAGCTACCTTTGGAGAATGGAAAAGGGGTGTTAGGAACAGAGACTTCTGCTTTTTTTTTTCTGTTACCCAGGTTGGAGTGCAGTGGCACACTCTGGCTCACCACAGCCTTGACCTCCTAGACTCAGGTGATCCTTCCACCTCAGCCTTCCAAGTAGCTGGGACTACAGACACACACCACCCAGCTAATTTTATTATTATTATTATTTTTGCAGAGATGAGGTCGTGCTATGTTGCCCAAGCTGGTCTCGAACTCCTGGGCTCAAGCAATCCTCCCACCTCTACCTCCCAAAATGCTGGGATTACAGGCATGAGCCACTGCGTCTACCTGAGACTTCCACTTTTTAGTTTATGTAAATCCATTCTATTTTTTTAATGAATAGAAATTAATTTCATGATAAACTCTAAAAATTCAATAGTTTTGGATAGTCCACATCAGACTATATTTTCCAAAGATGGCTACACTACTGCATACCCCATCCATATGTGTTCTTCTTACATTAGCAACATTCCTCCATGACTGGAGGGGCCTGTGCTCATCACTATTGAACCTGGGCAGTCCTTTGTAACTGCTTTAACCACAGAATATGTGGTGGAAGTAACTGCATGGCTTTCAAGGTTAAATCTCCAGGCAATATAATTTTCCCCAGTCTCTCTTGGGACATATACTTTTTCACCCTGAGTCACCATGTAACAAGTCTGACTATCATGATAGCACCATGCTAAAGAGACTCTTTGGAGAAGAGAGAGATACCCAAGGAACCCCAAAGGCTCCAGCTGTTTGAGTCTTTCCAGCCCAGGTAGCAGACTTGCAAGTGAGTCTTCGGATAACTTCAACCCCATATGAAACCCAGTTAGGCAGAAACCGGCCATCTCCACACTATCCGGTCAGAATCCCTAACCCACAGAAACTGAGAGATATGTGATTAGCGTTACTTTAAGTCACTCAGCTTGGGGGTAATTTGTTACGCAGCAATAGATAACTGATACATAGGCTCTAAAATCAGACAGACCTGGTTGAAATCCTGGTCCTGCCACTTACTGGCTGCGTGACATTGGGCAACTAATTTAACCTCTCTGGTTCCTCAGTTTCCTCATCTGTAAAATAGAAATAATAATTGTACCTATTCAAAAGGTTATCAAGAAGCTCTAATGATAAGGTCAGGTCCAAGAGGGCAGGAATTTTCATCTGTGTCGCTCATTAATGTATTGTCCACCTCAAGTACAATGCCTGACTCATCTTAGGCATTCCAAAAGAATGGTTGAACTGAGAAATACACCATGCCCAGAATACAGGATTTCATAAATATTAGCTGTCATGATCAAGAACATAGACTAGGGCTATAAATGAGAAGAGAAGGCTGATATCCACTAGTTAAAAAGTAAAAAGGCCCATTCAAATATAACTTAAGAACTTGGAATTTAGATTTAGGCAATGACTGCAGGAAAAGACTCTAATCATTCAGCATTAAGAAAAAATTCAGTATTATATGATTCTTTATGATGAACAACCATTCTCTCTCTCTCTTGCTCTCTCTCTCTTACACAAATACACACACACACACACACACACACACACACACACACACACGCTCTTACAGAAATACAAATGAATGAGTTATTGCTGCATCCAACAGCATGAATGAATCACACAAATATAATGTTAAGTAGAATAAAACAAATATAAAAGAATCTATTTGGTCTGATGCTGTTTATATAAAGTTAAAAAACAGCCAAAGCTAACCCATGATGACAAAGCCAAAAGAGAGGTTGCCTCTGGGAGAAGAGAATGACTTGCAAGGAAGCAGGAGGTGGGATACTGGTACTGTTCTAGTTCTTGACCTAAGTGGAAGCCACACAGGTGTATTCACTTTGCAAAAGACCGCATCCCTATGACATATGTACTTTTCTGAATAGATGTTATCTCTCAATTAAAATGTTTGCTTAGCACACACACACAAATGCAAACAAATAAGTAGCAAAATTAATTACCTGCACTCCAACCTTCTTTTCATGGTAGGGGCTCTTAATCCTTTCATGTGATCTAAAAACAAAAGAACCCAAAATCATAAATATAATTTTTCCCAGAGGATTCCTTAGCCCCAGGAAACTGAGTTGTCTTCTTTTTTAGCTTCCTTTTGAGAGAAAACACATGAGGTTCACTTTTATGAGAACTGATTCACAAGGACTAGACTCTTCTGCAGGTGAAGAATCCTTCGAACGGGCAGGTTGTCCATGTCTGAGCCATTAAAAGCAATTTAAAAGGAGAGCAATTCCCTGAATCTGAGGGCCAAGTTGAAAGTACCCCAGCAGTCCCAGAAGAAGGAGAACTTCCCTTCACTCTCTGCTTTCATTTCGATCCAACCATCCCTCAGGTCCTCACTACATGTGACCCATTTACTCTCTGCCACTCAAGTTAGTCCATCTAGAATGTGCTAGGAAACCATTCAGGCTTAGGCCAGAATAAGCATTTCATCATCTTTTCGGCCTACTGTGACTGCACAGACCTGCTCCTCAGCCCTTTAAATTAGCAGACACAGAAAGACAACAACGGAAAGGTCACAATTAAACCAAACAGTACATTAAGTACATAGTGCATCTAATATATTCTGAATCTTTAGCAAGGAGATGCCTAGACAACAATAACCAGACACTTCTAAATTGTTTAGCTAAATCAAACCAATTCAAATTATTCTAATGACCACTATGATCACCACACACACAAGCATGCCCTCAATTTATATGCAGCCATCCTTAAACACGGCAAAAACAGGGCAGTCATCACACCTCACTTAGCAACCCTTGGCCAGACACATGTCCCACCAGGATAGTTCCTCTGTCTCTCATTGGGTGAATCTCCTTAGGTCCACACGTGGTCTAGTCTTTTAGAGCCTATTGGTCCATCCCAGGACGAGACTCTTTGTAACTAGGGTTTTCAGAGAGTTTCTGCCATGGTGAAAAGGAGGCTGAACCCAAACTCACTTAGTTGGCAGGACCCTATCGCAATTGCCTCATAATCCCCCGTTCCCTTCACCCTTGGGCCCCTTCCTGACAGGGGGTCGAGAGAACTTGGGTGAGTTTATTTGGAGCTGCTCCAATTGTGCCCAGAGTCTGCTTTTCCAGGGCCATTTTCCTTTTCTTTGACCAGAATAAATCATCTTACCTTTCCCCCTCAAGGGGTCTTCCTGGGCCACTATCTCAGGCCACGGGTCTCCTCTAATCCTCTGGACCTTTCTGAGGATGCTTACTTAGTAAAGCCTACCCTGAGCACAGCATTGGGTTCCAGAAGGTCCACAAACAGACAACAGGTGGGTCCATGGCCCACTCCAAACTATATCAAAATACGATGTTAATGTGTTTATGTGCATTTTTTTAGAAGAAAAATCCATGGATTCTTGTCAGATATTCTCAATTAGTATGCTTGAGCTGCCATAATGAAGCCCCATGGACTGGCTGGCTTAAACCACAGAAACTTATTTCTCGTAGTTCAGGAAGCTGTGACATTCAGCATCCATGTATGGGCTGATTTGGTTTCTGGAGAGGGCTCTTTTCCAGAGTTACAGACAGCCTCCTCACAGTGTGCTCCCACTGCCTTTCCTTAGTGTGCATATGTGGAAAAAGAGAGTCCTCTTTTTTCCTCACCTTATGAGGCTACCATTCCTGTCAAAGTAGGACTCCACCCTTATGACCTCATTTAACCCTAATTACCTCCTTTAGGTCTTTTAAGACCTAGCTCACTACATACAGTCATTTGGGGGGTTAGGGTTTCAATATATGGATTTTGGGGAGACAAAGAAGTCTGTGTCCTAAAAAGGCTATAAACCAATAGTAGGCAATGTGGGAAACCCCCAAAAGCAGAAGTTGAGTTTTTGCCCTCGATGAGTTTACTTCCTTGTTGAGTAAACAGATCCACATGTGATCAGAGAATAGAAAAAGGTGTCACAAATTGCTGTGGGGGAAAACAAACTCTCCTTGTCTGGTCAATACTAGGGAGAGTCCATCTCTTGCTTAATGTACAAAGGTTTGATGATGATTTCACAAATTCCCTTGAATAGATTGTTTCTCCAAACACAATACTCTTACAATTACACATAAAGGGCAAGCTTCTAAAGGATACTTTACTCATGGCTATCCCATTTTGAGTTCAGAGACTCCAGCGAGACCCAACACGAAAAGTAAAAATAGGGGCATCTTTGTCCAGCTTTGGATTCTCAAGGAAAAACCAAACCAAACCCTTTATTCTCAAGACTAAACAGGAAGACTCTCAAAAAGGTGCACAGCGCTAATCTGGCAAATCAAGAGAGAAGGTCAGGATCTTCCTCATTAAAGAGAAGTCATGAGCAGCTTTAAGCAAAGAAAAGCAGAGGCATTTCCCAGAAGCAGTGCCTTCGATTGACACCAGGTCAAAGTGACCGAATCCACACACAAGACAATAGCAGTTCTTCACACCAACCCTGGGAGGAAAGGCAGTATTTCAATATCCATAATTTACTTTAAAGTACTTCTGCACCCTGCACTGTGCTGTGGCTTTGTCACACGGATTCACTCAACAGGGTAGAGGCAGCATCCTGCTCCAGCACCCTGCAAGGCCACACTGCAATAGGCAGCAACTCCAGTGCTTCAGGTCGTCTCTGTCTCCAATCAGTGCCCACAGCTGTGCATAATAATCAGCACAGTAGAGGTTAAAAATGAACAATGGTTGTGAAATGAGCAGTGTTTAAACGCTGAGGATTCGCTCCCATCTCCACACGGAGCATCTAGCCTGAGCGTCTATCATTGATTGACCCTAACCTTAACCCCTAATCGGGTCCAGCTGTGAAATCGTAGTAGTGTAAGTATTCTGGTGGCCCGACGCCATCTGACGGTGAACACCCTGCCATCCTAGACTGGGATGAACCTTTCACAAGGGATGCGGACCGAGCATCCGGGAGAGAAGGGGCGTGCAGTTCATGGAGCTTGCAGACGGGTTGCTGGATTTGACAGCGGGTGAGTGAATGTCTGAGCCTGCCTGCTAGCCAGTGGTTGAGGGTGTGGCCAGTAGTGAACTGAAACTTGTTTTCTTATGCATGGAAGCGAGGTTGGGGCGGAATCGGGGGTGGGGTGGGGGAGGAACTAACTAATCCTCGTCAACCTCTGACCATCAGCCACCAAAAGAACCTAGGAGCAGTGCCTGACCAAGTGGCCTGGGCCAGCGCGCACCTGGCAGGGGCTGTGACTCCGGGTTGTACAGATGCGGAGATAAAGTCCCTGAGAGGCCGAGAGTCCACCTGGGACCACGTGTGCGGGCAAGCTCCCCCACC